CTGCTGTAGCTGAACCCAGGACACTTTTTCATTTATACGAATAAAGCATGCTATAATATGTCTCCAAGCGTATTGTAGCATCTTACTTCAAGACTGTACCAGAGGGCAGTCCTTGTTGAGAACACTTATTGCTGATGTCAAGAAAGAATGGAGACAAGCATAATTTGTCTCTTCTTCATGATCTTAGTGAGCAGTTTTAGTTTCTCTGAGCATATTTTGTGGGGAAAAGTTAAAAAGGAAATGTTCTGTTGCTCTTCTAGGATGATTGTGTGTAAGGAGTCAAGCCATTATCTGTGTTTTTGAAGTGAAAACATGAAACAAGAAAGGAAAGGATCAGAACCACTTGATTATGTTGCTTTGAAGAGAGTCTAGGTTAGGACTGTAGTTCTTTTCTATGCAGTTCCAAGAGTGTTGAGTAGGTGTGGGAAAGCTAAATAAGGCTGAAATCCTGACAAGGTCGGCGAAGAGGTTTAAAAGAGTGAATCAGCACAGGCTTGACTTAATGAGGTTCCTCCAAGTTGACGCCATCTTGCTGTTAATTGAGGATTTTGCTAATGTTGGAGTGGGATTATTGTGCCCAGAGATCCAGTAGAAGGTAGATATTTTGAGACTACATGAGAAGAATGATTTTCTGAATTTATCTTGCTGGTAAACAGTACACGCTATACAGTAGTGTTCTGTATTAACATCTGAAGGTTGTTACTATTTTCCAACTTCAGTACAAAGCTAGCTGGCAAAATGATTCCTGACTAATTAGATGTTAAGAGCATTTTCTCCCCATTACTAATAACTCATGGGCCTGGTTCTGCTTCCTGAACTTGAGAGCTTGAAGATGCATTGCAAAATACAGCTGGTGGTTCATGCTGGAAAAAGAAATTTTGAGAGTAATTAAAAGGCTTTCTTATATCTTTGCAGTAATACCTTTAGTCTGATTCTGAAGATCCTTAAGGAAGATTTGATTTAGCTTAAAACTGTTAATTTTAACGGAACTATTCAGAATTGTAAAATTTTATGTGCATGCAGATGACAAAACTGTGTAATAGTTAAATTGTTTCTTGTAATTCTTTCGATTTTATTTTTTTTGGGGATATCACATTGTAATAAGGTAAAAATTTATTTAGATAGAAGCGAGTAAGCTGTGATACAACATAAGCAGCACTGAATATTCTGAAATGCTTCTTTGAAGTTTTAAAATTTAATGCATGTTCTTTCATGTACAAATATATATTTAAAGCTGGAAAATATGCAGAAGATGATCTATGAGTTGGAAGAGCAACTACATAATGAAATGCAGTTGAAAGATGAAATGGAGCAAAAATGCAGGTGAGACTCCGAACTTCAATTGTTTACATAATTTAGATACATGTAATGCTTAAGTTGTGTATTACTCCTTTAGGGATTACTAGAACAACACTAAGAATGGTACTGTACTTCAAGGGAGTTCCAGACACAAGCTTAAGTCATTCTAAACCAATGTTTAAATAGTTTTCTTTTAGCATAGCATGAAGAAAATGTTTTGTTTTCATTGGCACCCATGTAACACATTTGCTTTCTGAACACTTAAATGTTTGAGTTTACCTGATTATCTCTGAATTCAGATGTTTTATTGGACTGAGGTAGACAATGATCATGCTGATTTAAAAAAAAAAAAGTAAAATATTGTATATATTCCATGTATGTGATTATTAAAACTGTGTAGTTTCTAAATACATAGTACTTTTTGGAAAAACACATTCCTCTTTCTTTTTGCTGTGATTGATAGATAATAACCGTTTACTCTCTGAAATCTTGTTTCTACCATGTTGAAGTAACTAAGTGAGAATTTGCCTATTTCATAAGCTACATGAATAGTCAGTTAGGATTCTTCTTTTCTGATAATCAGAAATTTTTACTGTGATTCATGCCAACTAAATTCACCTTCAGTTAGCTTCTCCTTTTGAAGTCTTTTCTTGAAGGTCTTAATAAAGCCCTAAGGCAACACTAGGTATAAGATACAGGAAAAATTTAGGCCTCTATATTAGGACCATAGTGTGTAGCTCTACAAAGTACTTGTGTGAACTGGTAGCCAAAATGGTCCAGTGTGAGTTTGAGCTGTGTGACACTGTTGCTTACTTAAACACAGCTTCACTGCTCACATGATATGATTGCTTTCCACAAGCAGAATGTACATTGCTTGAAAGGTATTCAGTAACTGTCTTTGCAGTACTACTGAAGTTGTCAGAGCACAACAGTGTGTCTTCTGGTACGTCATACTGTTTACTGCAGAGTTGGTAGATATTGCTCCTTATTATACCTACCAGGGTCCTTTTTGTTGTCTCTCTGAAAAGGGATAGCTAGCTACAAAAATGCAATGGATATGTCATTGTTATTGCTAGTTAACTGAAGTTTTACTATGCACCTCACTGTCTCTATGGTGCTTCAGCAGAGAGACTTTCAAATAATATTATTCGAATATCTATAGTAGGGAGCTGTTGAATTAATGAACCATTTTAGCTATTTGAAAAGTTCACAACTAGAGGAAGTTTTAGCAGCTCACTGGGAAATTATAATTTTAAGGTTAACCTGTTGTGTACATAAAACAGTTTTTACAGTTGGAGGTTAAGGGAGAAAATATGGAACCTAAATTTTTGCATCTATAATCTGCAGCAAGGTTGATAAATACTTAATAATATATTTTACAAATTATTTCCAGTAATTGTTTTCTTCAAATTCAGCTATTTATTACAAAATAGCATTAGCCAAAATATAAATGTTCACTTTGGTAATGGTCCCAAATTATTTCACTAGAAAAACACTATGTATAATGTATTTTTCTCAAATATGACTTAAATGATTTTATTTTCAGATCCTCAAACATAAAGCTAGACAAGATCATGAAGGAACTGGATGAAGAGGTAATTTTTTTCCTCAGTGAACCCTTCTCAGTTGGGTAAAGACGATGGATAGTATTTTTATGACGGTGGATAGTATTTTTAATCACAGAAGATATTTCTTCTGTGATTAAAAAATTGTCCTGAGTTTAAATTTGAGATGAAATCATCACATTTCAAGAATGTAGCATTTGAAGATACATTTTTATTTGTACTAATTTTCAAAACCTTTTCTTTCAGCACGTCATGCTGAATTCTGCTTTCCCTGATAAATGTTTGCCTAGTCTTCTTGCTCATCACAGCTTCTTTAGTTTATCAAAACCAGTTACTCTAAAAATTAATGTACAGATGATTTTTCTGTCAAGTCCTTGTGTTGTCTCTTAATAATAATTTCAATAATAATTTTAATAGTTACTTAGTTATGATCACATTAATGATAACTTTTCTAGTAATTTATTTCATTTGTCATGTAGAACTTTAAAAACTCATCTTTTCTGAAAACCTTTTAAAGGAAGCCAGAAACTCATTTACTGGAAACGATGCATTGGTTTCCTTGATTAATTAGTTGCAGAGATACTGGTCTAAGGATCATCCTTAAAATGTAAGTGGAAAATAACAATGCTTTTAATTTTAGGGAAATCAAAGAAAGAACTTGGAATCAGCAGTGTCTCAGATTGAGAAGGAAAAGATGGTATTGCAACACAAAATAAATGACTACCAAAGAAAAATTGAACAAGAGAATGAAAAAAGACGAAACATGGAAAATGAAGGTATGCTGTGTTGTCCAAACAGACACTGAAGAAGTGTATGATGTGTTTTGGGGAATAATTCACTTCCTTAGCATCTTAAGTGCTATGCAGCTTTAAAGGGATCTTTTCAAATAATGGACACAAATTTTGAATTTAATTTTGTTTGAACAACATAGTTTTGTTTTTATTTTCAAATTCTCTACAGTATGTGGTGGTATTCTGTAAGCCACAGAATTTTACCTAGAAATGTACATAAGAAGCAAAAAGACAACAAAAGACCTATTATATGGCAAGAATTTGAGTGTTTGTGTAAAAACCCTGACAAAACAACAGAACAGGAAACCTAAGGATTTTTTTTAAAACTGATTAATGGTGTAATTTTTCTTCAGTGTCCACGCTAAAAGATCAGATGGAGGACTTGAAAAAAACCAACCAGCATTCACAAATTTCAACTGAGAAGATGACACTATTACAAAAACAAGTACGTTGCTTCTGTTCATTATCTTCATTATTTCTTAGGTTTGAAATGCAGTATTGAGCATTCAGATACAACAAAACTGGTCCAGATAACTTTTATATTTGAGAATCTTGTCTGTTTTATTTTAACAGCTAGAAGAAGCAAATGATTTGTGGAGGACAGAATCGGATACAGCAGCGAGACTGAGAAAGGCTAACACAGAAATGAGCAAGTCACTAAGTCAGGTAGAATCACTGAACAGAGAACTCCAGGAAAGGTGCAGAGTTCTAGAAAGCACAAAACTGCAGGTGGAGAAAGATTATTACCAACTTCAAGCAGCTTTGGAGTCAGAACGAAGGGACAGAAGTCATGGATCTGAAATGATTGGTGAACTACAGGGTAATTCTTCTGTATTTATGCTTTACGAAAAAAGTTGTGATGACTCTACTCTGTTGCATAAAGTACAGTTACATAAAGGGAGGAAAGCTAACCTGCAAGCCAAGCGTGACTTAAAAGAGCAATTTCTGTAGATGGGGTCTGGCTTCTGGATCATGTTCAAGCAGCTCTCAGGAGGGAGAATATCAAAATCCAGAGTTGGAAACACCAATTATAAGTCCATGGGGCTGCTCTGACTAAAAGTCTGAGTAGTACAAAAATATGCAAAACTAATACAGTGCTAGAGAAGACACAACATTGTTTTACTGCCTTGTTGCAGTAGTCAAGTTGCCATACCCTACACTTTCTCTTTCATGTGTGGAGAAAGCTATTTTGTTGTTAAATTGCATTTGCTTTCTTTTATGATGCTTCTACATTACTTTATTAACAAGATTAAGAGCAGGACGTAGAAATGGCAAGAGAAAACAACTCTGTGGACTTCAAAATGCATTTTTAACCACATCTGACTTGGCAGCCTTCAGGCAAAGGATCTTTTTCTGAAGAGTGAAGGGTTAAGGTCCTTTGCTGTTATTTACCCAAATAGCTTTATGTAATTCACTTACTCATAGAGCTGTTTTTAAAGGCATATTTAAAATGAATGAGAAAAACATAATATTTATGAAGTCTTCATCTTCTTCCATCTTATTTCTTACATATTGCCAGGATGTCTCTTTATACTTCAAAACCAAGTGAAGCAGGCTGTACTGTAGTCAGGTGTATTTGAACTGATAGGTATATTTTTGTATACCCTATTTAGGGTATTAAGTGTAATATGGAGTAGTCCTAAATATTTTTTGTGTTTTTATTTTGAATGAGCTAATGCACATTCTTCAGTATAGAAATATATTCACTACTACTTTGGCATTTGCATGCATGCACACGCACTGCTGCTGCTGTTACTACTAAGGTTTTGGGGGAGGCCTTATTGTGGCTTTCAGTACTAAAAGGGGGCTTATAAGAAAGACAGAGACTTTTTACCAGGGCCTGTAGTAACAGGACAAGGGCCAGTGTCCTAAACTGAAAGAGAGTAGGTTCACATTAGATATCAGGAAGAAATTTTTTACTGTAGGGGTGGTGAGACACTGGAACAGGTTGCCTAGAGAAGTTGTGGCTGCCCATCCCTGGCAGTGTTCAAGGCCAGGTTGCATGGGGCTTTGAGCAATCTAGTCTAGTGGAAGGTGTCCCTAAATGGTCTTTAAGGTCCCTTCCAACTCAAACCATTCTGTGATTCTACTTAGTATTTAGCTGTCACCACACAAGGTCTTGTGCCAGATGCTGGGTGGATGTGGAATGGTTCTGCTATCCATGGCAGAGCACTTGAGTCATAATTAGGTGAATACGTATTACGTTAGTACCTGCAGATTCATTTGAGACCGATGTCTTGTGTAATGTGCCTTATCTGTGTATTAATGGAGTTAACACCAGAAAAGATGCTTGTTGCATAGCAGAACTTGGATTAATGGAAGAAATTTTGCATATTAGGTATTGGAAGTGATGGAAGGTGGGTACAAGTTTTGCATGTGATTGTTTGTTGTGAGTTGTTACTAATTGCATGCCTAAAAAGTGGCTAAAAAATCAGTTTCCTTTACAATATACAGCCTTTCCATGTCTGAAAAATTTGAGAGTGTAAATGGGTTAGGGCCCCAGAAGTCAGTAGAGCTTGAAAGGCCTATTGATCGAAGTCAAGTAACTAATATTGAATGATACTTAATTTCTTATGGCAGTTCGGATTACAACTTTACAAGAAGAAGTAAAAAACATCAAAAACAATCTTGAAAGAGTGGAAGCAGAAAGAAAGCAAGCACAGGATATGCTTAATCATTCAGAAAAGGTATGGCAAAATGATGCTGAGGCTAATGTTTGTTCTTTGTCAGCTTTTGACTTTTTTCATATAGTATTTATTGATGTTGCTAAATCCTGTGTTCTTCCTCTAATTTAGTTTTGTGCTAAATTGATTAACTAAACACTGCTAATTTACAATCTCATCAGGATGGTAGGTCTCACAAGTCCTCAAGCAGTTCTTACTCATAGCTTTGGGCATAAAATTAGCGTTTGTCATTTACTGTCACTGATTCAAGGATTCGATCCTTCTGCCAGTAGCAAGTAATTTTTGTTCTGCCTGCCTACCTATTGCTGTAGAGAGTTGAACTTGTTAGAAACATGAAATTTAAGTGTCTGCTTTTACTGGATTTTAATTTGACTGGATCAGTGCCAGACCTTTTGATCCAAAGGAGCTGAACCGTTTCAATGGTAGCAGCATGTTCCCCTAATCCCCACCCCAAGATGGAGAAACAAGTAAAGAAGAGTTAAAGAAAATTCTGCGTCCTTTTTCCGGTCAGCTCTACACTTTGAGGTCAGGTAAAGACTTGCTGTACCACGTGGTCTATCCAAATAAACCAGAGAGATACGACTACCTATAAGGGAATGTGCAAGCAGTTACCATTCTCGTTTGGTGTTACATGAAACAGCGATCCAAAGGCAAGTCCCTGTCTCTCAAAGCTCATCTCCAGTGCTTGTTTCATGAGTTACTGTTAATGGCTGTCAGTCCCAACAGTGACGTAAACAAGAGTTGCATCCAGGTAACAATAATTCAAATTCTTCCTCTGTGCTCTAGTGTTGTCAGTGGATTAGTTGTGTGTTTCCACTATCTTACAAATTTATAGACTACTGAAAAAAATTAAATGAATTTTTCCCCAGAGCACTAAGTACAGTTTTTGTCTGCTACCATTCTTTATTAAGCATGGAAAATAACATGGATTTCTTTGTAACAAAAAGTTAACACTGAAAAAGGGAAGAAAGGAAATGTGATTCCCTCAGATATTGTAGAAACCTGGTAACATTTTTTTTTTCTTATATTTAGGAAAAGAATAATTTAGAGATAGATTTGAACTACAAACTCAAATCATTACAAGACCGGTTAGAACAGGAAGTAAATGAACACAAAGTGACTAAAGCTCGGTTAACTGACAAACATCAGTCAATAGAGGAGGCAAGATCAGTTGCAATGTGTGGTAAGTGTTTCTTTCAAGTTGCAGGTAAATATATAATAAAAGGTATTTTGATTATATGCTATCTTAAAACACATCATCTTATAATGTAGTACTCCTATACAGGTTTTAATCCCTTGTATAAAGAACGTATATCAAAATTGTAAAACATGAAAACTACACATTTTAAATTATTTTGTCTAACTTGGTACTTATACCATAAAAATTGCATTATTTCTTAGTGTTTTGAATATCTTACTTGGTTTGCCATGAGAGCCTTCCTTGGCTTCTAAAAAGCTATTGGATCTTGAAATCCTGGCTAATGCTAAACAGAATTGAAAGAATACGTTATCAGGGAGCATTCACTCCTGTGTAACTGCATTAAAAATATTGGTGGTGTATCAGGCTTGTCTGAAGTGGTGAAGTTTTTTTTATATATAAATATCCATGAGTCAAAGGTGTGTCTTGACATCTTAATTGAATACATCAGGTTTTCTTTGTGAATGTCATTGGTGCCTAGATGTGTAGTTTGTAACTTTTCAGAAAGCTAATGGTATCATTTGTTTTCTTTCATTCTACTATCCATTCCTGGAAATGAAACTTTGCCTTTATTTTGCAATGATTACTTCAAGAATCTGTATTTTTTTTATTTCTTTCACTATCTGTCTTTCAGTTATCATGAGAATATTCCAGTGCTTTGAATGCAAATTGGAATAATTTATTTTTTTAATGTTTCTTGTAATAATGCCAGTAAGTTTTTACTCAGTAATCAGTCCAACAGCAAAAGAGTTTAAATAGCTGCACAAAAGCACTTGTAAATTATTAGGATATTTAAGACTGTGTTTACAAAAGCACTATTGCAGAAGCTACATACTAATTTTTGTTGGTTTTCTTTCCTTAATGTTGTTTAGAAATGGAAAAAAAAATAAAGGAAGAAAGGGCAGCAAGAGAGAAAGCAGAAAATCGAATAGTTCAAGCTGAAAAGCAGTGTTCTATGCTGGACTTCGATCTGAAGCAATCTCAGCAGAAACTGGAACACCTTCTTGAGCAAAAAGAGAGACTGGAAGATGAAGTAAGTAAAATGTATATCACTAACAATTTTCTGTATAAATAAGAAATTCTAGATGCACTGAGAAATGGAAAATTAAATTCACTCACATTGAACTGTGTAATACACCTCTCAGTTGCACTGAAGTCAGCTGGCCTAAATAGTGCTGCATAGTTTCTGCTTGTTTCTTAGCTCCTGGATGCCTTACGTATTCGAGCCCGCAATTTATTACAATTTTTTTTTTTTTTTGGTGTGTGTTTCCATTTCTTTTTTTAAAAATAAAAACTTGCCTGTGAATTTGACTGTAGTCTGGTGGGTTTGGATGGTTTGCAGTTCTGAGTTTGCATTTTCCAGAAAAGCATTGGTTCAAGGAAATGCAGTTAGAATATTCAGTGTGACAACTAGGTACTAAGAGTAATAGTTCCATCCTTACTTTTCCTTTACAGGACACTGGGAATGAAGATTGTAACACCTTTTGTGTAAATTAGTTTTTATATAGCTAGTAAGCTGCAGTTTTTGCTAGGATGAGAAGTTTTTAGGATCTGAAATCCACAGACAAGTTTGCAGGACCTTTCAGCACACAATTTCAGTTTCTTCCATTGTTGCCTTTAAGATGAGATAAAACACATTTGGGATCTTGAAATAAACTGAGTATGGGGAAGCTTTATTACCATGCAGTGTCATATCAGTATGTTCTGTAAGGGCAGCAGCTCTCCTTAAGATTATTGCACTGAAGTGACTGGAGGCTTAGGAATATTTTTACTTACTGTGCAACATATAGCATCTAGGCAATGGTATTTGAAATAAAATAATCCATATATGAAACACTTTCAACCACATGGGATTGGTTATTCAGCAAATGCTCCTAAATTGAACTATTTCTCTTTTAGGTAAAGAATCTAACACTTCAGCTAGAACAAGAGACGAATAAGCGAATAATGGCACAGAATGAATTAAAGGCACAAGCCTTTGAAGCAGATAACTTGAAGGGTTCTGAGAAGCAGCTGAAACAGGAAATCAATACGTTGTTGGAAGCAAAAAGATTACTGGAATTTGAGTTGGCTCAACTTGCTAAGTAAGTAAAAATCTGAAGTAAAATGGAAAAAATTGCTTAATTATACATGTACTGTTCTGCCTGTTCCTATTAGCAAATAAAGTTTTCTGGTGCATAGGCATTTTTTCCTAAACTAAAGGAGTATTTTTAGCTGCATGTTATGATTTCTCTTTGTAGCCTTCAGTGTTGGAATATTTTTGTTATGAGCTATAATGCAGAAAAATTCTTGGCTCATCATTCTGTGTCAAGGCATATATATATGCGCGCCATTTTTATTTGACTGCCTCCTTTATGGTTGACTGTGATACTACTTACTACATCATATGGGACTTTTAGTTTTCCTACAGGGGAGTCAACAGCTCTTTTTCCCCCTTTAGCTATTTGATCCTTTTTCGTAACATTTCTTAAGCAGACTAAAGTCATTTTTCATTAGTTAGGCTTCTGTCATACTTTCCTTCAGGTGACTTAAGAAGTACTCTAAATGGAGAAATGTTGTCTTCTCAACTACATACTGAAGTGATCAGCAGGGTAGAATAAAGAATGTAATTAAATCAGAATTTTAGGATACGCTGTTGGTCTTCGTAATAACATGGGCAAGTGTACGATCTTTATAGGATGCTGTTCTGGTTAGAAATAATCTTTGTCATTTGTTAGTAGCTGACTTTTTACATTTTTTCCTTCTTTATTACTTCAAAGACAGTACAGAGGAAATGAAGGTCAAATGCGTGAGCTTCAGGATCAGTTGGAAGCTGAGCAGTATTTTTCGGTAAGACTTGCAAAAAATTGAGTGGTACAGTTTGACATGAAATCATTGAACCCTGAACAGTTTGACATAGTAACTTTTTTTAAATGTAGCTGTATGACATAAATCAGCAATCTGCAACTTACAAGCAATGAACAAAAAATTAGAGAACATCAGATAGTCTATCTAATCTGTTGCTTTGTAGTTGTTTGGCAAATCTTATATATTGAGGAACTCTTATCTGAACTATTCATCAGAGTAGTTCCTATCTTGAGCTTGGAAAAGAGGTATTTTCTGACATCATTGCAAACTTTTGTAGAGAGTTCAAAACTTCCATACTTACTGGAATATATTCCATGCTATTGATCTACGGTGAGTATATTTAAGAACCATCGATCCAGGAGCATTCTGCATGTATTCTGTATCATTCTAAAAAGATACCTTCTCTGCACCTGAGTCCTTGAAGAGCCTTATTTGGTTCTTCAGGTAGCCAGAATGTGCATTTCATAGACTTAGTTTGATCTGTTTCATTTCTTTGAAAAGAAGCAGTGATATCAGATGCTCTGTAATGCCTGAACTTCAAATACTTTTGTAAATACGAACAGTCTCATTTCACTTTGGGAAGTACTTTTAAGATTAGGTTCTTCCTTGGAGGGGCAATAAAAATTACTAAATGGCACATGATTAATTTCATTATGTTACAGATTTTTATGCATTTCTTTGTAATATACTGCTAATAAGATCTAGAATACTGTGTTTCATTCTCAGTTTTCTCTTTTTTTTTTTTTTTTCCCCCTGGCATGTAGTTCAAATGAGACATTTCAGTCTGAATATTTGGCAAAAGTTCTTTACTGTAGTAGATAAAATTTGAACTTTCAGAATTACTGGTGGTGGAAATAGCAATATAGTAATTGAGAATAGAAGCAATTCATGTAAATCAGCCAGACCCCTTGAATCAGTGATCTGAACAAAGTCAGTCTGTACACAAAAAGCTTACAGTCTTAAGAGAAAAGATACATGGATACAAAGAGGATACAACAGGTGGAAACATAAGACAGTATTAGTCTTGTTTGATGAGGACTTTCAGACAGTGGTGCTACAAGAGGATGCAGTTTTGTCCTGTTGTCTCCAAGAGATGTCCTCAGCTGAGTCCTAGTGTATTCCTTCCCTTTTGTCATCAGGTGTGTTTGTACAACTGCGTAGGAAACCAGACTAGAAAATTGAAAACTAACCTGGTCACATCAGTTCCCTACATAAGGGAACCTGAAAAGGAGCATCTCAGACAGGCAGGAAGGAGGAAATGTCATTAAAGACAGAACTGGCATGGGCTGGGGTTTGGCAGATGCAAATGAACCCAGTACCAAAACAATGATGAATTTACTATGGAACTTGACTAATGATTCTTTATGCTTTCTTTTACAGACACTTTACAAAACTCAGGTTAAGGAACTGAAAGAGGAAATTGATGAAAAGAACAAAGAAACTCAAAGAAAAATGCAGGAATTGCAAAATGAAAAGTATGCCTTGTGTTTCTCAAATACACATAAGTTTGGGTTGGTTTTTTTTCCTATAGTATGGTCTCACTAATGAAGATTTTGAATGAAGTTTAAACTGTTTAATTCCTTCAGAAAAAGTCAGGTCTTTAAAGGCTTCTATAATACCTTGTAAGATGGCAAATACATAGAATTTTACCTATGCTGATTTACAAAGCCAAATATGGTTATTCATATTTGTGTCTAGATATTACAAATGGAGTCCAAAGAAAAATCATGATGTCTGAGAATTTAGGAAGATGCAAAAATTTGTAAAAGCATTCCAATTTGTAGTAATCATCTTGCTTGTGTAACAACTTTTTTATTTGATTGTATTATCCTGGTAATTACTTGGTATATTTCTATAGTAAATAAAATAATTTGAGAAGAAGATAATGAAAATACTTTGAATTCTAAGCTTAGTACGCTTCTGATTACAGCAAAAACGGTTAATCCAGCAATGATTGTGATGTACTAAGTTAGCAAATAAGGAAAAAACTTTTTAAACTTGTTTTTCCAATTTATTAATTTAATATATATTGATTCTGAAGGAGGAGACTGTAGCCTTATACATGAAGTAGAGTTTCTTCTAAAGTATGCGTCTCTTGTTCTACTTGAGCATCAGCAGGATGTTCTGTGTGGTGTTTGTGATGATGCATTTTGAATGGGCCAAGGAAGGGAGAAGGAAAAGATATTATGATGTACAGGGAAAACACCTGCCTATGCAATGTTGTGTGGAGCAGGATCTGACTTAAAAAGAAAAAAGGGTGGGAAGGGGAAAAGACTTTGTTTATTCCTCTTGTGTGTTTTTTGAGGGTTTTTTTGGGGGGGGTTCTTTGCTTTCTTCTTATTTTTATAGATTCCTTTTTTTCTCCTGTTTCCTCCTTGTTCTACAACTATTGGAATTGTGACAAAGTCTAGGTATACTTCACCAGTTACCTTTTGTGGTAGAGGCCTGTATCTACTACAGATGTATCAAATCAGTGGACTCCAATATATACATCACTGTGTAAATATCTTTTTATTTTGCAGTGCAGAAAGGGCATCTGCCATGAGTCCCTACTGCAGTCATGGATTGCCACTTCTGTCTCAGCATGCTGTGGGCTGTGTCACATGTTGCTGGGTACATCTGGCTCCTGGGTGCTAGTTTGGCCACTGTGCTTTGTGTGGGGTTTTTTGCAGGCAAATATAAAGGAGCTCTGCCTGTACTCTTAAGCACGAGCAAGAAAGTTTGGGTTGTATGCTGAACTGATTAAATGTTGTGTATACGTTAAGGAGATGCTGCACCTAAGCTAATGCCCCTGCCTCTCAAGCTGTAGATGGAATTTGCAAGCCTTTCTGCAAAAGGTTGCGTAGACAGAGAACCACTGTCTGTTTTCAGAAACTCTATGCAATTTTCCTGATTGTTAAAATGGTATGGAGCACACATCTTCATGAGCAGTAATATTGTGTGAAGTAGCAGCTAATACTGATAGGGTTAAGTATCTTTTGATGGACCACACTGTACGTGCGATTTAATTTTAGTTTTTATTCCTCAAAGGCAGAATTTGACACACCTGGTTTCCTGAGGGTTGGTGTTTTATGGATGATTGAATTATAGTAAGCTTGCTGCTGTAGCTTGTGTGGACCATCAAGAAATACAGGAGTACAGAGTGTGTTTTTGTAAATCTTCTTTTTCTTAAACTAAAATAACGACAGTTAGTGGAGTGGTATGGTTTGGGTTTGTTAGTCTTCCTGAAAATGTTGAATGTTTTGTGTAGAACAAAATGTTCATGTCCTTTTTACAGAGAAACGCTCACTACCCAGTTGGATTTAGCTGAAACAAAAGCTGAATCAGAACGGTTAGCACGAGCACTCCTTGAAGAACAGTATTTTGAACTGAGCCAGGAAAGCAAAAAAGCAGCATCAAGACACAGGCAAGAAATGACTGACAAGGACAGCATCATAAGAAGGGTAAATTATTCCACTGTAATGAATACCTATATATATTTTCTAGCTGAAAACAGAAATTTATGTTTCTATTTTAATTTATAAAGTCTTGTTATCCTAAGTAATAAGTATCAAAGTTTTGAACTTGTTTGGAACCTTCCAATCCCATCATGTGAACTCACAAAGAAATGTAGACTTAATAACATCTGAGGTGAAGCCAGAATGAAAATCAGCTGAATGTCTCTAATTCAGTTACTAAGCCTTTTGTGGTTACTTCCTGTCATTGCCCAAGGTATTATTTCAATCACGTAAATTTGTGGAGCTGTATATTAGAGAATCTTACTTAACTCTTGAGTTTCTTCCTGGTAAACTATTTAAAAAAACCCTAAACTAACACAGCAAAACACCAAAACCCACCAAACCCCAAACTGCAATTTTTGAAGATACTTCATAGTGTAGCTCTTGTGTAGTGTAGCTGTTGTGTATTAGTATCAGGTTGATGAATGTCTTTAACTGAAGAGTTTCAGATAGCATTGTTATTTTATCATTTCTGGTTTTTCCCATTTAGCGTCAGCTATGGAGATTCTTTTTAAAGAATCTTGGGGGTGTAAAACTCAGTAAACTCTAGATGTAACTAAACTTGGATCAATTGCTTAAAGCTTTTTATTAGTGCTACCATGGATATTACACCTCTGTGTAAATATAGCGGAAATAGTGTTTGTTACATGTGTTTCTTGTATAAGCTTGAAATTTCCAGATTGCCACCGTTTCTTTAGAAGCATTTAGATGATTGAAATACTTTCTTGGCAGTATGTTTTTGGGTTTCAGATATTCTTATAATATTGTTAGGCACGATTTCTATAGGCTTCAAATGAAACCTTTTTTTGAGAATGCAGTTATGGCTGGTTTTTAATACGTACTTGTTAAGTGGCTGGCAAAGTGATCCTGACTCTGGCAGCTAACATTCTAACATACTCAAAGTGTAATAGTTTTCCTCTCTGGTTTCTTTTGGTTTTGGGGTTTTTTTGGTTTGTTTGCTTTGTTTTTGTTTGCTTGTTTCATTGGTTGCTTGGTTTTTGGTTGGTTGTTTTTTTTGTTTTGCTTTTTTTCTTTCCCTCCCAAACCTATGTGCATATTTACCCGTGTATGCTCTGACTTAGTCCAAATTTTGTACTATTATTATGCTGATTTATACCTGGTTTTCATGATACATGACAATTATTTAGCAGCAGATGCCATGTATCTACTCTAGCCTTGAATGCTGGAGTTGTACCATCTCTTATCTGCTCTTCTGTTTGGATTCGGGGGATCCAGGTTCTAGATACTACTTCTTCCAAAGTACCAGAAATTAACTGGAAATCTCCACATTCAATAGCAAAAAATCTAAGTTTGCCACAGTTGGGTTTTCAGTTATGTACTGCACTGTTGTCAGCTCTGCAAAGATAATTAAAAAGAAGAAGAATTCTTTCTGGGACAGGTGTATTTTGAGCCTTCTGGTAAATCACGACATCTTAGAAGTACCTTTTTTTAAAATTCAGGTTTGAAAGGTAAGCAGATTTTTTTGTATCTGATCTGAGGAAGGCATTTCAAGTGAATAAGGGTATTTAAAATAATAGTATGATAAATATTTTTAGAATTGATGGCAAGTTCTTTATTTTAAAATGTGTTTGTTTTCATTTAGCTGGAAGAAACTAATAACACATTAACCAAAGACGTTGATTTGATAACAAAGGAAAATTCAGAGATCAGTGAAAAAATTAAGAAACAGGAAGAAGGTATGTCATATTTGGAGTTTTAATTCATCTGTTATGAAGCACAATTGAATTTGAAACACATGGCGAAATGGGAGAAGACATTGCTGTTTATCTTCCCTATTATTTGGGGCTTGATAAATAACAGTCATTGTTTTAATCTTGAAAATGTATCTTCTGTGTCAATCTTGCTCCTTTTTGCAAAGGGTAGAAAGGACCCCAGGAACTACCCACCTGTCAGCCTCACCTCTTTGCCTAGGAAGATCATGGAACAGATCCTCCTAGAAGCTATGCTAAGGCACATGGAGGACAGGGAGGTGGTTCGAGACAGCCAGCATGAGTTTCTGCTCACACTCCCTTGTCACTTTAAACCAAGTTACCACTGGCAGGCATAGTCAGGAATGCCTCTCCGCTAAAGGCCATTCATACATTGTCTGTCTAACCCCCTTCTGCCAGCCATGCCCTTGTGTGCACGAAAGTTATTCAAGTATTTTACTCATTTCATTCTCAATCAGCAGGCTGGAGGTGTGATTGAGAAATCAGTAGAAATCAAGTAACTGGTGTGTAAGAGAGGGGTGGGGGGGAAGCATAACAGAGTCATTCCTCGTTTAAAGGAAGCCTTTTTTTCCTATGTTTACTTTATGCCTGGTTAAGAATCTGTACTAAATGCGGGTCCAGTTTTATCAGTCTTACTCTGTGTGGGTACTGACTTAGTAATTTTTGATACTGCAGAAACACTTCTAGTAGTATAAACGTGAAAGGAATGGGGCAACAAACTTAATAATCATCAGGAAAGAAAAATGTGTATGTTGTCTTTAGCATTTCATCTTGGTGCCTTCCTGATATATATATCCTTCTGGTAATTTTGCATCGTTATAGTAGCATTAAACTGGTAACTTGTATCACTACTAACTGTATTTACGCATTAAGTGACACAACAGGAAAATAGAGGAGAAAAAAAATGGAATTGTAGAAAAGATTAAGCTTAGAAATACTTACTTTGTCTTAAAATACCTCAAAGTTGAATGTTATTTTAACAGAATACAAAACAAAAAAAGAAGAGGAAATCAATAATATTAGAATGCATTATGAGAAGAGTATTAACACTGAAAGAACTCTGAAGACACAGGTAAAATTTTTAATGCAACTTAATAATAATTATTTTGCATATCAGGTATTTTCAATTTATTGTTTTTGTATAACTGACTCTTAGTTCCTTTGAGATTAAGTGTCTATTAACAATGATGTATAATATGCATTCTTGATTGATACAGTTGAAAGCATAATCTTTTGATGCTGTGTACTCTTCAGTATTACTTCTGTCATTTATGTTGGTGAAGGGTTTTTTTGTTTTTTGGTTTGGTTTTTTTTTTTTTTTTTTTTTTTTTTTATCGAATCCTATAACTAGAGGAACTTAAAATTCCTGTATGAAACATGCTTGCATACAGCATTTTTCTTACTGGTTTTCCCATTTCTTAAACAGGCTGTCAACAAACTGGCTGAGATAATGAACCGGAAGGATTTTAAAATAGACAGAAAGAAAGCGAACATGCAAGATTTGAGGAAGAAAGAGAAGGAAAACCGAAAGCTTCAGTTAGAACTTAATCAAGAAAAAGAGAAGTTCAATCAGATGGTAGTGAAATACCAAAAGGAGGTCAATGAAATGCAAGCGGTAAAATCATCTTAGTATTTTTGTCACGTTGTGGAATTCTCTCCACAGGAAAAATGTACAGCTCCTAGTCTGCGTGAAAAAATAGCAAGTTCTGTTCCAGATGTTCTAGGCTTCAGAATTTTAGTGAGGCAGAGAACTTAAATGTGCAGCTGTGCTTGTTCCTCTTCCTAAATTCTTAACTGTGGAAGTTACTGATACATTATGAAGACTAAAGAAATGAATACTGTTTATCATACTATTTATGCAGTTTATTTCACTGGCAGGTGGTTTCCTTTTCAAAACAAATGGTAATTTAAGAGTTAATCAGACTCTCTGCTACTTGAATGCGTTGCTGGATCTTTGCTATTTGACTTTTTCTCCAAGGCTGAACAAACACTTCTGCTATAATAATTTATGTAAATGCTATCAGAAGTATCTAGAGATATTAAAAAAATAGTAATGTTTTGTTTTCAGAATACTTTGCTGTCATATTTTTGCTATCACAGTAACTATGCATGTATATATACATACAGCAACTAGCAGAAGAATCTACATACAGGAATGAGCTCCAGATGCAGCTGGATAGTAAAGAGAGTGACATAGAACAACTACGAAGGAAAATTTTGGACCTCCAGCAAGGGATGGATTCTACCAGTGTTGCTAGTCTCCAGGCAGATGAAATGGACGGAAATCTTTCAGGTAAGAGCAAAGCATATTTGGACTACTTGATTTTGTGCATACACATGATTTTGGAGGTACTGTTTCAAATAAGCTACTACCTTTTAAAATCTTACATCGTTCTCTTTCAGTGTCACATACTCACTTCCTTACTACTTGTATTTTATTTCATAGCTTAGCTGCTTATATTTAAATCTGAATTTCTTCTCACATCAGACTTCCCACAGTATAGCTTGGCATTAGCATAATTTTTATCCCCTTTCATGGAAGGAGTATCTTTACATCTGCTGCTGTTTGTATATAGTGAATACAATGTGCAGTGTCCAGTGAGTAGAATACAGGGCGAGCACTCCCACAACATTGCAACTGTATTTTGTATTTTGAATGCAAAATTACCTTGATCTTGTCTGTTCTTACAGTCATGTAGCACCATTGTGACAAGCGGCAGTAATTTCCAACATGAAAAATAATCAGTGAATTTTCATAATGCAGTTATGGTTGTATGGAATTCTGACTAGGCAGATTAAAGTAAGAATAAATAATACAGACTAGTTAGCTATTTTCATGCAGTGTCAGTTCCAGGCATTATGTTTTGAAACCCACTGTTACACTGATTAGTGATCTCCTCCTCCCCAGTGTTTGAAAAATATAATCAGTTAGTACTTTCACATGATCCTCTTCTGTATCTCCTGGATACAGGAAAAAACGTGCCGTGGTAATAAGCTGTGCTTAACAATTTCCAGATGTTGGAGCCAGGTTTATATTTTTCAGAGTTAAGTAATTTTTATAATTCATCATGAAGTTCTTAATAAATGCTTGTCTTACAGATTTACAGTCTGGTTTTTATTGTAGAAAAATATTCAAACGTACAAAAATAGAATACTATTTTGGATATTTTAAGACTTCAGTGGACAAGTAATCAGATAAAAGTAAATAGAATCATTTTAGTTGCCTGTTTTCCTGTTAATGCACTTCATGATTCTCAGATTGCCACATTCTAGAGTTTTTCCAGGGGTCTTAGAGTGGTTGAAATGTCAGGTAGGTTACCAGACTTAGTGTATGTTTTTATGTAGTTGTTCCTTTCTGTGTCTATTTTCATGTCCTGTCTTCCCCTTAGTATATTTTTAGATTTTTAGTTCATAATTAAGTGAAATCTGTTCTAGAATAGATTTTCATTCGGTAGTGATATAGTCTTGTCTTCACAGCTTCCATTCTGTCCAAGAAGTGTTTTGCACTCTGAAGTCTGATCTGTAAAACCCTCAGGCAGTTGCCATCTTGTGAAGTGAATGTTTATTTTACTACTTTTAAAAATGTCTTCTGGACCAAACTTCCATTGAAGCTCAGTATTGGGAATTCTTAGAGCTATGAGACTGGTGAAGGAACATGTTTCTTCTTAGCTGTCACCTGCTAGGAACCTCCCTCTGGTATTTCTGAACTGTCAGTACTTTTTCTCTTAGATATTAATTATCAGTGCAGTCCATTTAACTGGGGTAAAAAAAAGAAATCTGAGGGGTTTTACTTAAAGTGTTTTTTACCTGCAGAAATTAATACTTGGAATTGAGCCTCATGTTTGATAGTGTCTCCTAAATGAAGAACACTGTAGTTCGTAATTTATTAAAAATTTCTGAGCTCCTGTAAATTGAGAGTTTAAATTTTTCTACAAGAAAACAGACTAGATTCATTCTACATAAAAGGGTAGTTTTGAACTTCCTCACTTTGCTTCTCAGACATTTTCAGCTTAATGGCTGTTGTGTATTACACTGAAAACACTCAATGCCTCCGATGCAAGATTTGAGGAAGAAAAAGAAGGAAAACTGAAAGCTTGAGTTAGAACTTAAGAAAAACAGAGATTCGATCAGATTCCCCATTTTATTCCTAAGGACAATAGTATGTCAGTGTGACACTGTTGTCTCCAAGATCTTAGAAAGGCTGTAGGAACAAGCACTTTCTTTGTCTGCCTCGTTTCAGTCCATTATTTTCAGTTTTACCTCTGGAGATGTGTATAGTCAGGCATACAGGCTTCTGACTGTATGACTGTATTACTTGCCACTTCAATTTTGGGGGCAGAAATTTTGGTATGTGCAGTATCTTATCCATTGTTAATTAGAACATCACAGTTACTGGAAGTTCTTTTGGTTTTCATCTTCTATACTCATGACCCCTCTGTTTCTTTTTTAATAAGCCTTTCATTTCTCGTCTTCTTTCTCGCCCTTTTCTCCACACATGCCTCTGCTTTTTACTGCAGTTGTGCTGATGGTGTTACTGTGTCATATAGGTGGGACCTCTAGTATATATTATTAAGACTTGCCTAGATTCAGATCATGGCCTTACGTGCTGCTGCTTTTTTAATTAGAAGAGATTGAAGTGACCTTGGTGTATATAGTCAGTTTTCACACAGTTGCCAAAGAGTCAAGTAGAGGGCAGGGAAGGATTGCACTAGCATTGTGAGGAGGAAAAAAAAAAAAGCCAGTCTTCAAAGTAGAAGTACCCCACGAAAGAGGAAATTATCCAGCACAGTTATTTTTCTGCAAACTAAGTAATTAGTCTTCAAAACAGAACGTGGCATACCACAGGAGTTCATTTGCTACGATTCAGTTCTATGAAGTTGTCTTCAGGTGTGTGCTAAGTTCCTATCACTTTTGTAGCCTGAACATAGACATTCCTTCAGAGCACCTTGAAAAGCATCTTGTTTAAGAGGTAATTTTTTCTGTATTTGGTGGTGGATACAGAGAAATCATGTGGTAACACACCTTACAGCTGCATCTCACTTGGAGGTGGTTTCTATCTGTCATTGAACTCAATACCCCCTCAAGTTGTAGTTCCCAGGGACACTTATGTGCTCCCAAGGTAGGGATTGGCTTATTTAGACAATACCAGCTATTCTCAGGCTTTTGTTTTGCCAGATGGGAAGGATCGTGACATGGACGAAGATTTTCCTCGTATTCAGTTCCAGGCATTTTTTGTAACTCTCACTCCTGATAATTGATTCAGATAGCAGCTCATGTCTCAGTTGATGTCTCCAATGTTAATAGATGCCTTGCTGAAACAGCTGAAATACTTGCTTTTTATTGATGCCTTTGAAATGCATCTTCCTCCTGACTGGACTTAGGAAATCTTAATAATTACATGATTGTAGACAGAATTCTTCTCTGTCAAGACAAAACATGATCAGGAACTTAAAGGATTTTGTCCTAGTTGTTATAAGGCACTTGTAAATTAATTCTTTTCATCTGATTGGCAAGATAATTTAAGCAATTGAGCTGTCCTACAGGTTTAACCTCAGTCCATAAGGTTATAAATCATGTTTTACATAAAAATAGGATTGAATAATAAACAGGGACCATTTAAGCCAATAGTTTTGTTGGTTTTTTTGGAATATGGAACATAGGACTTTCTGAAACACCTACAAGTAGCTGTCACCTGAATAAACCTCAAAGCAAGATCCAGCCAGCAATCCTTGGTGAGATCCACTTGAAATTATAGTAAGACAGCCTGAGGAAGGAAAGAATCCAATGGGAAGGGAGGCTGGAAAGAATTAGCAAGGTAGTATCTCTAGTTATGTAGTTACCATGGAAGAGTCTGAGGCATAGGAATTCTTGAACATTGGAAAAAGATGCTTTACTGCTCATGAAGGCGCCTGTATTACGTAGCTCCAAAACAATGAAAAGTCTCATAAATAAATATAGTCATGGTTGTCTTGTGTGATTTTATTGAAGACTTACTGTTAGAACTCAAATTTATCATACTGAATCACAGTGAATCCTGGCAATATATGAATACTAGCCATGAAGATGTTCAGAATGCAAATCCATGTTTTTATATATATTCAGAGATAATTCTAAGATCTGTAGCCCTTATGGAATCCTTTCTTCATATTCTTTTCGGGTCCAGCTAGCTATCAGATATTCTTGAGGCCTATCTTGGATTTGATGGATTGGGAAAATATGAACTATCTATTCTGGGATTCTTTCCAAAATACAGGGCTGTTGTCAGGCAATAGTTTTGAGTCTACTTTTAAAGACAGGAATAGAAGATTCTTTTTAATAGTCTAGATAGCCCATATTTTCTTAATTACTTAATCGGAACACTCATAAATATTGTTCTTCTGGTTCAAATATTTGTGAAATGGCCAGATGAGCATTTGCAGTTTTGCTAGCTAACTCTGTCAAGGGAAATTAAAATACACTATAAATATTACTTGAGACAAACCTTTGTGGTGAGGTTGGAAGGGAAGGACTCATCTACCCTTTCAAGAGTACATTTGGTTCCAGACGGATGTTAGCTTTGATGCATTCAGAAATTGTTATTTTCAACTGCAGAATGTTACTCACAGCTCAGAAATCATCTCTCATGCAAATAAAATTTGCTTACTAAAATAGGTTTGTAGTAGACAGAAAAGAACATCAACCAATTCATTTGTAATAGCTCACCCACTTTCTACTTTCTTTGAAATTTCTATCAGAATGTACTGAAATAGATGTGAACTTAGAACTCACCCTGACTCTATAAGCAACATAGTACCTGGTGCATCTTTTAAAGTTTACCATTATTGGATCTTTCCAGATTTTCATATGCCACAGTTTGGACAGATGTGTACTTATTCCTTTCAGATCATGGTTATCCATTCTGTATTTATCTTGAACTGCAGTTGTCCATACTATGTTCTTTATTAGAACTACATAGCAATTCTTTATTAGCAATTAAATCAGTTCTTTATTAGCAAATGTTCTTTATTAGCTATTAATCAGTTCTTTTGCAATGGAGTACTTGAGTTTTGGGATATGTCTAACATTTCTAAAAACTGAAGAACCTTTCTTGATGTAAGAGCTATTCAAAGTATTCAAAATAGGGTAAGCATCATTTGTGATGCTGTGAAGGAAATAGGTTTCCTTTTCCAAAGCTACTGAATATCAAGAACTGGGGAAGGGCCTGGGGGGTGAAACCCCCACTCCCCACTGTTCTTACACAGATATGAGAGGCAGGGAAACACAAATTTCCTTCATTTTTCCAGGAAGTTTTCTTTCTGGAATGAGTTCTGCTAAGCTGCCTTTCTTCCAATGAGAATTTCAGTAGTTCAGTGGTCCCCCAGTATTTTGTAGTTACCTTCTGTGGAGAAATGTTAGGAAATTATTCTGTGTTTTTAAGTGTAGTCTGCTTCTAAATACTGAATCCTGTAAGGGTAATGCTGGAACAAGTTTTTTATGCCTAATTTTAATGCCTTACACAAGGCTAGGCTTTTTGTAATTTTACAAAACAAAGTATATGGACAATATCTTAAAGTGTATATTTGGATGTATTTTCTGAGCTTGCTGTGATACACCTCTCTGAAGTATAAAAGGGACCAGGAGTTCCTTCTTACATACGTATTTGTGGAGGATGTTTTGGGAAATTTTAACTTAATGTTTTTGAACTTATTAGTGCTGCCAGTTCAGTTTATTGTAAAGGTGTATCCACAGAAGCACAGAATGGGTTGGGCTGGAAGGGGCCTGAAAGATCATACAGTTCCAATTATTTCTTATAAATGTGCAAGTTTCTTCTCAATTGTGAAATTTTATAACTACGGAGTAAAAATCTGATTCCTGCACTGTCACATTTACAAAATTGTGAGACTCTTTACCATGTAATTTCAGATTGAAGGAATCATAATAGCTTTTCACTGCTATTACCTGGTTTCGTAACTTTAAAATCTCTCTCAAGCCCCAGTATCAGTTAGCTGGAGAGCTGTTGAACTACTGAGTTGTATTAGGCAGGATGCTAATTTTCTCGTGATGCTTCTTTGTATCATTGTTAAATTATTTCAGTAGTTTTATGGTAGGAAAATACGTTATTACATTACTCTTTGGGAAATTGTCCACTGACAGTTTGAGTAAAACACTTGTCTCTTATTCTTTATATCTAGTTGATTCTTCCTGCACTCCTTATTTATTTATCTCCTATGCTTACCTTCTGTGAGTAACGGGACACCCGTGTAGCTTTGCTTGCTCTTGTGCGTCTTCCTTTTTTTTGTATTCCTTGGAAAATGTGGATCTGATTTGTTTTACTTGCTGCATCTTCCTGCTGAGTACTTTCATGTAGCCTCTCCAAATGTTAAATTGTGTTTATATTGCAAATCTCTTAATCATCCTCCTTTTAAGCAGTAACACGTTTTTGAAGCGAAGTCTTTACTGCCTGGCTCTTTGCAAACTGTTTACATACAGTGTTAGCTCTTGGCATCAAGGAAAACAGCTTCACTTTATTTTGCAGTAACTGTATCATCATACGTTAGCTTGCGATGAAGCATGAAGTAAATGCTTATATCTTCATTTTATTTAGCTGTGCTTTTTATTCTGCTTTGCTGAATAGGTAATTGCCTATTTCTGCATGTAGTACGTCTTCCTTTCTAGTAATAGTTTGCTTTTGTGCTGTTCTGCTTTGTTATTATAAATGCATAACATCATTTAATATGCCTTTTTTTAAAACCAGAATCAAGACTTGAAGGTTGGCTTTCAATACCCAACAAAGGAAATATAAAGCGGCATGGCTGGAAGAAACAGGTAAAAATGGAGGGTTTTTTTCTTCCTCAACTCCCTTGGGAATTTCTGTAGGCATACAGTGAATGGTTTTACAGCTTACATTTAAGAAGCAAAGTAATTAGAGTAATTTAGTGTGTATACATTACTGAAGGAAAAAAAAAGCCAACAAGAAAATTCAAGTTCAGTGTGAAATCTGTAGTAGTAACACTGTGAAAATTTATGACAGGTGGCTGAGAAAATGCTTTACCATGGTCACTTTGGAACCATTAAAAATACCTTTTGTCCTTTGAGTAAGCTTCTTTATAATCCTGTTACTGAAAATAAGCTATTTGTGCACCTTGGCAGCAGAGTAGAGAATTCTACAGTCTTGGACTCACTGGGAAATGCTTAGGTTAGAGGTGGTCTATCTTAACTGGCTGATGGGTTACAAAACTTTCTGAGCAGCTTGCTTTGGTTTTCCTGTCATATGAACAAATGTGTGTAATTCTGTGTGATTGTGAGCAGCCCTGGAAGGATGTCTGTGGTTGAGGACAGCATCCTTGGGCTTTTTGGGGTTGGGGGTTAGACAATGCAGGCATACTCAGCATTTGGGAATTCTATTGGAATTGCGGCTTGCAGTCCATTCCCACTTTGAAACTCACAGTGCAATTTTAATTTGGTTTTATCCTTTCTTTCCCTAGTATGTTGTGGTGAGCAGTAAAAAGATACTGTTCTACAATGATGAAAAGGACAAGGACCAGTCTAATCCATCCATGGTACTAGATATAGAGTAAGTAAAGTTCCTGTTAGTTTTGGATACAAATTGGGAAAAAAGCAGTGTGTGTGAGAATTCATAACAAATCTAGAAGCTTGGAATCAAAATTCCGTAACTGATTTTTAATTTCCCGTACTAGTACGAAAACATCTGTTTAACTGCATTTTGGGTGCTGTTAACAGAAGATAGTACTTTTTCTTTGTCCTGCTGTTGCTAAAAGTTGGAGAAGAAGGTACATACACAATAGTGTGGCACTGTCTGTTGTCACTGGTCTGAATTTACAGAAAGGAAAAGCCTCGTCTTCTTATGACAGAGGAGGGTCAGAGACAGTGTGGGACCTATCTCTTGTTATGATTCAGTATAAGGTCAGGTGTTTCCAGTTGCTTCAACTGATTTCAGGTCTCATGCCCTTGCCTCATACCTTTTTCTTGCTGGCTGAGAAAGGATCAGTGCTGATCAGCCCAAAGCTTGATTTCTAGCTTTTCCAGATGGTTTCTGTCTAAACTGACAAAATAAATGAATTGTGATCCCTTTACATTGGTTATACATGAGGAAAACTGTGTCAGTTATCAGTGAAGGCCATTGCTGATACATGACTGTCATGTTTGAACAGCTGATTGACATTATGGAACCTGGTAGAGTAGTAATTGAAAAAAGGTTTTAAACTTCATGAATAGGTCTATCGGTGACTAACAAATACAGTGGTCTGGAAGGAATCTCAGACTCAGGAAGTGCTTAAGCTGCCAATTGCTTGTAACCAGGAAAAGAGTTATTTTCTCTTTGAGCTGTTTCTTGCTCTCTTTTCATAAACATCTGTTACAGCAAGTGTTGAAAACAGGATGTTGGGATAGATGGACTTAGTCTTGACCCTGTATAAAATGATGTTTGTTCAAATTTTTATGGCATTTTCAACAGCTGGTGCCCCAGATTGCCTTTTTGTGGTGCTCTGGCATTGATTGTTTATCAACTGATAACATGATTTAGTAAAACCAAATAAATTAGTGAGTAGTACTGTACTTTATATGGTTATCATACAGGGTTATCAGTAAGCTTTTCTAGCAATAATCAGACTTCCCAGTGTTCTGAGGAAGAATTTTGAAAGTCTTTTTCACATGTAAATTTGCCACAATGGATCTTGAACCCACTGTAAGATAAAAATGCTAAGGTATTTTGGTCTTACTTGGGTAAACAAGATCTATATTGTTTATGAATTAATTTAAAATCACATTATAGCCTGAAGTCTGTAGTGATGCTTACATAAACAAGGTCTGTAAGAACTAAAAAGCACTTTGATAACTGTTTTAAAAACATAGCTCGCCTTTCAGCATTTTCTGATTCATGTTTCTTTTAACCTAGTAAGCTGTTCCATGTCCGGCCTGTAACTCAAGGAGATGTATATAGAGCTGAAACTGAAGAAATTCCTAAAATATTCCAGGTAAAAAGCAGCGTACTCTCATTTCCATTTAACTCTCTTGGAAAAGTTTGGCAGCTTCTTTGAGAAGTGTATGAAAATACATAGAGCTTCAGCAGTAACACATCAGTCTTCTTTTTCAGATTCTCTATGCTAATGAGGGGGAATGCAGGAAGGAGTTGGAGGTAGAACCAGTACAGCCGGCAGAGAAGACAAATTTTCTGAATCACAAAGGCCATGAATTTATTCCAACGTTATACCACTTCCCAGCCAACTGTGAGGCCTGTGCCAAACCCCTTTGGCATGTCTTTAAACCCCCTGCTGCCCTAGAATGTCGAAGATGCCACGTGAAGTGCCACAGAGACCACTTGGATAAAAAAGAGGAATTAATTGCACCATGCAAAGGTATGAGTAAGGTATATGGCAATACAAGGTATATATTACATACTCGTGGGTTTTTGAGCTCTCTATTCTCTGCATAGTTTAGCTAAACCTACTAAACTGTTGGAGGCAGATAAAAACACTTGAGCTTAAATGTTTTCTACGCCTTAGCTGTATAATTTTAGATGTGAAAGGTGCTATTAAAATAAGAGTGTTAACAATGCGTATGAGCAGGCACCTTTGGGAAGCCTCTGTAGGCAGGCCTTTGGTGGTGTGAGTGACATGGCTCTGCTGAGGCCCTGAGAGCACAAGAGTCCCCAGATATTTGTGCCGAAGGCCTGGGCAGCTCCTTGGTCCCCAGAGCATTCTCTCTGTACTTACACATGGCCCACACAAGGGACAATGCAGGGGCCACATCACCAAGCTGTGTCAACACCTCAAAGAGTGGTTCATGAGCCACTTCACAGGTAGAAGTTTCCTCTGTGCTCCTCTGGAGTGGAGGCTTTGGGGTTCTACTCTGGAACTCACCCTAAGGTACCCACACAACTTTTCAGCATATTAAGACTACAGTTAGTGTAAGTTTTCTCATTTCTTGAATATCAGTGTTAGACTCAAGAATCTTAACGCAGAGTGACAAATATTGAAGGAAACTATATACATAATTTCCCCTGCTATTTCTTGAAAATAAAATGGATAAACAAATCCAAAACAAGTATGTATAAAGGTGCTGTTGTTCTTTCCAGTGGCACACCTGGTATGTCATAATTCTTGTTTTGATAATGATTCCTAGTTTTCATGGAATTGTCTTCCTCCTTTTACTCACAGTGAGTTATGATGTAACTTCAGCAAGAGACTTGCTGTTACTGGCATCCTGTCAAGATGAACAGAAGAAGTGGGTGACTCATTTAGTAAAGAAGATCCCTAAGACGCCACCATCTACTTTTGTTCGTGCTTCTCCTAGAACTATGTCTACAAGATCCTCAGCAAATCAGTCATTCCGAAAAGTTGTTAAAAATACTTCTGGAAAAAATAGGTGAGAGAGAAACTACAAAAGCTGCTAAAAATACATCTGTCAATCCCATTTAATGTGAAGTTGTGAAATAATTCCATAGTTACGACTGTTGAACTGCTGATCTAAGTCTCTGCTCAAATCCTGATAGACTGTGGTAAATTTCTCAATTCTTTGATTCTGGAAAGGTACCGTAGAGGTGGCAGTGCCTGGCCTGCAAATGCATGTGAAGGATCTGGTTGCATTGTTTCCTATTTCAAGGCAAGGCTTGGTAGATGTACCAGCAATGAATGAACCACATAGGCATTCGTGGATTGACTCATAGAACTTGTTTAAGCTGGAAATTTGCAGATGGGGGTGAAATGAGAAACTTACAAATTCTCAGTCTGTTGTTACACCATTTTTTTTTTTGGCGTGAGGCAGCTTAATTCCATTCTTCCTCCCTGCTTTCTCCCATCCCACCAGTTGTTTTTTGTAAGCTATTTGTGGCCCTGTGCATTAACCAGGGCAAGATTTAAAATACAGTTTTTTAATGCTAGGTTACTGTAACCTGAATTTTAGCCTGCATTAGCTTCCTCATACAGTATATGTGTTCCTCTCCCCCCAAAAAACCAATTGAGTCAACAGTACAAAGCAGGCGCTTCAAGTTTCAGGAGGGAAAGAATCCTCCCAGATTGGCAGGGGTACCAAAATAAATGTCCAGCAAACATTCCTTGCATTAAGTGCAATGAAAGCAAACTTCTGCCTGTAAAGATGCACTGGGTATATAATGAAGCATGCTCCTGCGGAGGAGATTAGGAAAAAAAATCTGAAAGATACAAAGGGTGCTGATTTTCTTGTCCCCATAATTAACACTGAAACGTAAATGATCATAGTTTTGAGATACTAACGTCTTCAGTGAAGACCCTCAAGATAATCTCATCCAGGAAATGAATTTAGGCCTCAAATACAAAGCTGACAATATAAAAAACAGTGATATTGTGGGCAGTATTGTGCTAGAGGTAATAACCAGTGCAGCAGCATGAGGAGAAAGACATAAAAAGAAATCTGTGACCAGCAGCCAAGAACATGTAGCTGTGCTGGAGTATTTTGGAAGAGAAGCCATAATCACTAATGCTGAACAAAGTCTCAGTTTACCAGTTATAGTTCAAATAGTAAGAACATAACTGAATCACTGTGTGATTTTATGTTTTTCAACACTGGCAAAGCTGAAGTTGTGAAACACAGAAACACTTTGATCTGTGGGGAGATGAGGACAGTTTTTCCTTACAATCTTCACTGTAAAAGTGGTTGAAAACAAGGGTGAAGTGGGGTGGAAAAGCACACAGTGGTAAGCCGGGGTTAAGAACTGACTGTAAAATCGGAGTTTGCTTACTAAATAGTAGCATCTTCAGTATGTACCAAATAAAGACAAATCAGTAATTGCTAATTTCAGGGGGTCTCAGTTGTGTGTGTTTTATGTATTTACCTGGTGTGTACTTGTACAACAGAGTCTTGTTAAACTGTCTTGTCTACAAAATGTCCATTTCTCCTAACATCCAAAAAGCTTTGCAGTGTTTCCAAACTTATTTTTCCTTCAGTCCTCAGTTTTCCGAGATGTACTGAAAAATATTAGACCCCTCCATAGGCTTTAGCCAGATATTTTGGATGCAAATGACACCTGCTGAATTTAAAATCTGCATCATTAATAGCTGTTGTTTAACATCATCTTTATTTGCAAGAGGACTGTTGAAGTACTCCTGTTCTATGGTTGAGAAAAACATTGTGGTTTTATCTATCATATGATACATTTATTTCAACAATAATCAGGATTCTAGAAACCAGTTACTAAAGGCAAACCTTTTAAAGAGGCAGATAAAGATAATAGAAGTACTTACAACTGATTAAAGATCTGTTACTGGTTAGTAAGGTTTTTCAGTGAGTCTTGGACCAACTAAGGCTGAAAGAAAAAGCATATTACATTGGTACTCAAAAGGATTGAGTGAAATGATTTTGATACTGAATCATTGTCTCATTGTCATTTCTGGGAAACAAACAGAACTGATAATGTAGAATTCATTAAAAGAAGACGTTTTTAAAATGTGACACTGAAATAATGCTTGTCAACATGACAAAAAAGATGTCAAATTAACTGAGAATCTTTTGATGAGGTAGCATTGTTGGAGAGTAAAAAAAAAAAAAACCAAAACAAAAAACCCAACAAACCAACACCCTCAAACCAAACAACCAGCCAGTGTGGTTGGAAAGAATTATTTTACTACACCATTTACATGCATCTTGAAGGTGCATTAATGGGAATAATCTAAAACAACACTTGGAAGATCATAGTCACGATTGTACATTTTAGAATTCATCCTCTGTTATTGAGTACACAGACTCTTCCCTCCCCCTGGCCAAACCCTATCTATATAGAGTTCACTTTGTAAAGATAGTGCATACCTCTGTTTCACATTTAGATATTTAGAGTTGCAGCCACTGATCCTTGGTCAGTGCTTGAAATTATCTCTTTTGGACCCTTACATGAAGGTCCACAATTCAGTTTCCTGACTGTCCAAAAAAAAAAAAAAGTAAACTTACTTTGCTGAGCTAGTGAGTAAATCAGCTGCTAAGAAGTGCAGCCATTGCTAGAACTGAGGACAGGTAAGTAGGAGGATGATGCTTCCCTGGGTTAGGAAGGTGGTAACTTACAGAACAGTGGGCCTTTTTCCTTTCAGGAGGCAGCAAATTGTTTAGCTTCCCTGAACTCAGTACACTGCAGTTCTCATTCTGACCTCTTTACCTGGATGTGGGAGTAAGAGTAGAAGTGGTGATTTTTATGGGCTGAATGTGTTTAGCTTTTACTAAGTACCTGAAACTTGTTCTCTTGTCAAACAGTATAGCAGAACTTGATCTTGGTGATGGAGTCCTACCATGTAAGCAGGCATTAACTGGTTTGTCGAATGGATACGGACTTTGACACATGCTTTGAGACATTGTAGTATATTTCATTTTGGGCCTGATCCACCTTTCTTTGCAGTCACTAGGCAGCATTTCACTGACTTCATGGAGAGGTGTATCAGAACCATTAAAAGGACCTTCACATATAAGTTCATCTTAAGTTCTATTCCCTGTTTTAATAACTTACTGCTAGTAAATATGAATCAGAACTTCATGATGAACTTGCTAGCATTTGCAGTACTGCTTCTAGACCTGAAACTACACTTTGTAGTTTACAGTGGGCTAATTTATACACATTGTGTCAGCACAGTTGAGGTATTTCATTTTCATGTATTTGGACTTGGGCACCTCATTGAGTTAATGCATGCTTAAAAAAACCCAGACCTGAACAACCGAAACTCCTGTGCATCAAATGAGCTTTGGCAACTGCATGTGCGTGTGCTTTTAGCCCTGTAGAGCCTTTTCTTGGCCTGCAAGTGGAAGAGGGTCACCTTGCATTTGCCATGAATACACCTGTGATTGTTTACCTGAATTGTTCACTTGTAAAGCTGCAGTAATATTGTCATCTGTCTGATCTCTGTGTTTATTTCATATTAATTGAAATTAAGAACAGTTTGTGGAAGATTGTGTAGGTGTGATCTTAGCATTATACCATGTCTATTGAAAGAGTATTTTGTTAATGTAAAGTACTTCCTTCACTGGAGCTCTTGGCAAATATTGCACTAGTGTTATGAAGCTAATTTTGCTATTTGTTATTAATTGTCTGTTTTCTTCTTTATTCCAGCTAACCACATGTTCAGTGCTTTCTGGGAAATCATGGGATGCAGTCTGAGAAACAGGGCTTTTTTTAACCACACAGAGCAGTGCAGACGGGCTGTTGTTCCTTTCAACATAACTATCACAGGCTTCAGGGTTAAGATTGCTATTATTGTCTCCTCCTTGCTTTGGCACAAAAGCACGCTGAGGGTGTTTAATTGCGGGTTTGCCTAAAGGTAGATTAGATTAATTATTACTATGTAATGCAAGTTAAAGCAAATAAAGCTTAGCTAGGTGTATAAAAAAAGGTGCTGCCTTTTTGGATTTTTTAAAAAAAGCCTGTCAATCGTGATGAAATGCAGCCAACTTCGTATCAGTGAAAGAAAAGGACTATTCACCCTGTGAAGGGGCTATTTATGTCAAGATGAGCATGCGTAACGGAGTAGAGGAGAAGGGTATCTCAGTGAGAAGGACTGCAATTGCTTTCAAGACTCAGAGTTGTGCTCTTGAAGACTGCAGAACTAGCTTAAAAATGAAGCCTTATCACTTGAACTTCAGTGCCTTCACTGCAGAGTTCTTAACAGCCTTATTGCTAACCACCCACTATGGAATGGATCAAAGTGTTAAGTATTTTGCATTATGCTTTACAAAATACTGATTTCAGCAGGTTTGTAAAGGGGGGAAAACAAGTAATTGCCTTTAATCTATGCATTTTTGCCAAGCCATACTGAATTATTGTACTATTAGAGGCATTAGAAACTAACAGTAAAAAGAACCACCGAGTTTGGAAGTGTATTTTGGGGTACATCATTTCTATAACTGTGTAATGTATTGCCTTACAATTTTAAGTGAAAACGTACATTAAGTTAACAAACATTATGAAATATATGCACTGTTTGAACTGTAAATTATTCTTAGAACACTTTTACTGGGTTTTACATTGTCCTTTTAGTGCCTTAATTTGAGATAATTGTATTATTGCCATGTCAATAAATGTAGAAATCTGAAACTAAACAAAGGAAAGGTCTAAAAAACTGTTGCGTATCTGTGGTTTTTACTGAATTTTAATTGGTTTAAGTATTGTAGATGCTTTTCCTAAATTAAGTACAATCTTTGAATGAGAATTCCTCTTACAAAGAAAGACTGATTCGGGTTTAAGCCAAGAGATGTGTAGGCAATGCAGGGGAAAAAAAGGAAAGCATGTAACACAAAAGCTCTGGGTAATTCAGGAATTTCAGTGAATGCTGTCAGACTCTTGCTTTGTAGCAGGAATACATTCATGGTATGGGCAGTATGGTTTTATTTTATTTTATTTCTTAACCAAATACCTCCTCAGTAATTTATAATGGCTTTGCAGTTGTGTATTAAATAAGAAGCACTGGAAAACTGATTCGTCCTTAGGACGATTTGCATGTTTCAAGTGGTATTGAAAGCCGCACTGATGGATATGTAATAATAAACATATCTGTTATTAATATGGTAATGACTCTGTGCTCATTTAATGAGAAATAAAGTAATTTATGGAAAGACCCTTTTAAAAATGACTGGCATGGTGTTTTCTCCTGACTGAAGCTTGTACGTCTTTCTGAGCATCCAGATGTTACAGCAGTTTCCTGGTACAAGGTGTGTTTGCAACGTAACACCTAAGGGCCTCTGTAACATTTTTTACTGTTCTACATGAGCAAGTTAAATGCCATATTAAGTTTTTTCATTCTCTTATTCTCATGGCCTGCTGTAGTAGCCTAGTTCGCATTTATTACTCAACCACCACCCTGAGATGGCTTGTGATTGCTTCATCCTTCATGATGTAGGTTTGGAGCTTCAGAAATACCACTTACCTGGGGGAGGGAACCCTGATCAAAAGCCAAAATACTGTGGGCTGTTTTTTGTTGGTGGGGCTTTGGGAGAAGGTTTGGTTTTGGCTTTTTTTTCTTTGGAAGAGCCTGTGCATCCTGTGAAGCCACCAGTGCATAAATCTCCCCGGGTAATCCACTAAGGCCTGTAGAACAATGGAGCAGTAAGGTCAAATTACATGCAAGTGACTGTATGTCATTTGAAGGTCATAGAGCTGGGCAGTACAGATAAATAGAAGCACATGATGATATGATTTCAGAACTTTCTTCTGTGTTGAGTGTGCTCTATCAGAAATGGCAGCAGTTTCAAAGCTGTGGCTGGAGCACACTAAAGGCTACCTTCCAGATCGCTGGTCACATTGACTGTTAGCTTGCCAAGCAACACAAGGGATAATTAGGACCTGCTTTAATCTCCTATCACATACCCAGAGGGGAAATAACACATTAAGATGATTAAAACTGTATTACTTAAATGCATAAATAATTATAGGAAATTTAGAGCAATAGAAAAGGCCTATGGTCAGGTCATTCTCCAGATGCAGATGTAAGTTTTGGATTGTTTTTCTGGTTTCCTGTATGGGTAACTGGCTACCTCTGCAGGCTCATACACTCTTGCTTGAATAATTCCTTAAGCAAAAAAAAAAAAAAAAAAAAAAGTCCTATCTTATAGTTTGATATTTTATGAATCTGAAAAATAGCATAAAAACTGTTATGAATAGATAACGACTAGTGGGAAGAGAGAAGGATTTTGGAAAAATAGGTTTGCTTTGCAGATTGGCACACACTATCATTTCCATACCTTTTTAGCGCTGCTGAAATTCTGCAATTCTTTTTAAATGCTGATTTTGCTTGGGAAAGAAGCAGCAGACATAATGAAGTGTAAAATTACATTGACTTGTATGTCTGGGATAAGTTGCAACTAAAATGCTGTAATAATAAAGTCTAGACATACAAATTACAGTTTGTATGTTCGGGTAGGCTGATGTTGGCACTTGTTTACTGTAAGCAAGGTGCCTATCTACAGGAATAGCTACACTTTGAATAATAAATTCAGCCAAAGGTTTCTCCTATTAGGAAAGTAATGCCTTTGTGCGTGAGATATTTCAGGGAAATACCTAATTTCCTGAATTAGATATTTAACTGTGCAAACAGGTATTTTAGGGAAAAAATAATCATTATACTTTTAACAAGCATCAGCTTTACCATCCAGAAGAAAATCGTCAGTGTGCTGTTACGTTCGTTGTAGCTCTGCTTTTTCTGGCTCTTGCCTTCATGTTTTGCTTAGCTTTTACCCTTGTCAGTAACTATTCCTCTCTCAGAGGAACATTTTGCCGACTCTCACCTAATACAGTGACAGAAAGTCATCAAGAGATGTTAGCTATGAAAAGCTAAGTATAAATCTGCCTGGCTTCAGTCATGTTGGTGAAGCTGTTTGAGAAATTCAGGAAGTCCAGATTCTTACGTGATCATTTTTTTGTGATTTGCCTCCACATTTTGTCCATTTTTGATTACTGTATTAGGTTGAAAGTTCATTAATGTTGGTAGAATGCCCAAATCTGCTCTCTTTCATTCCCTCTTCAAGCCTCCCTATTCCT